AAGTGTAACCAAGGTGTGTTTAAGGACACAAATATCAAATTTGAGCTGAATACTCTATCCAGTGTATTTTATTTGATACACCCTCTTCACTTGTAGGAAGGTAAAGGTCATAGCTCTATTTAAAGGCGTAGGCAGATCACTGTGATTGAATCTGATTCAACTCTGTCTGTACTTCACATCACATTCAAGCTAGTTTTGTGCTCTTAAAGATGCCGTAGTTAAGAGTGCAATGCGTCAATTAAAAATGGTGAATACGTTTGATTAACTCCTGGCTAAATCGTTTAAAGTTGGTGGTATGAATTTAGGAATATCTTCTATTTTAAATTATAACGAAGCACAAAGATCATTGCGAGATTTATGTGCTAAGCCGCGTTTAATGCAGTAAAATGGATAAAACGATTCGTAAAAGTTAACAAACAAACGAGTCCCATCCACATGCATTACCCGATAACAGTAAACTTCTAAGACTCATTTGATTTCTCTCAGTCTTTTTTACTAAGGCAAAACAGCAACTCCTATCTTAATAGTCTTTTTACCCTCTGACCGATTTTTCACCCTTTTTGCCTACATTGTTTCCTTGGTTATGGTTAAATCCCTGCCTCCTCTATCAACTGGGGTCATATGCGTCGCCACCATTGCCGCTATTGTGATAAGCTGGTCACTATAATTACCACTACCTCTACCATCCCTAGTCCGCAGAATCGGGTTGGCTGCCCGGCTAAAGTAAACCTAGTTTGCCTAGTTTGACCTAGGAAGTTTCCTCTAAAGTTGGGACTTCAGAATTCTTGCAAATAAGCATGCATGAATGGATATATTAGTGGAAGGTACAAGCCTCATCCATAGATAATGGAAACTCTTAATTTAATTGCAGGTTGCATTCTGAGTGCATACTGAATGGTAAACAAAGCTGTAAATGGATTGAGAGGATGGGCGCGACTTGATTTCTTACTATCAGTGGACCAATTATGAAGGAAGATTATTTAAACCAAGCCTGTAATAGATAATGGACTTGAACACCGTGAGGATGACAGTCATGAGGAAAGTAATGGAAAACTTTGAATCACATCTATGGAAGTCGGGGTTGCGTTACATTCTAGGTACCCTTAACAGAGGTGTAAGAAGGTTAAAAGGTTTATGGAATTATCATGAGGGTGATAAATCCTTTCGATCAAAGCACACTAAAAGTTTATGCGGGAGTGGTACTTGGAAGGAAAGACCGAACTAAATAACCCTTATGTTATGGCTCCAATTGCGGAGTTTATAGGCATGCCTACACTACAGTCAAAGCCTAGCCGGATTTTATTCTACTACCTCACGACAAATATCGGAGAATATAGTACAAAAAGAAGCGACCTCTTTACTAGTATGATGGTGATACGACTCTCAAACTCTGGACTTTAAAACATCTCAGTGTACTCGGTTGGAACAACCTCTTTTTCTTTTTTGGTCAGACCTGGCCGTTAAAAGGTCTGCTATGAATATAGGCTAGCGTTTCTCCAGTTTTCCGCCTGCTCAGGAAGATGAAGAGATGCCTAAGACTCTCAGAGAAGTGCTGTAATGAGTTTCACCGTCAATGATAAAGAGGCGAAAGTAGACCTCCAACTCCCATTGAAGACCTTTTACCTTGAAGTTCAAACCGTGAAATGGGACATTGAGTAGCACGGCTCTGTCTTAACCATGAAGCTCTGGATGTTGGCAGCCTACATTGTCTCAATTCGACCCTTTTTAGCTCAAAATCCCCTGGCTGCTCCTTACACGGCTATACCGTGGAGAAACCACCACGGAGCTATGCAATAGATTAATACAACCTTACCCATTGGAACGAATGTATGGATAACTTGTAGCCATTCAAGCTCGGCTTTGTTTGGGTCCAATAATTCCGAGTCAGCTGTGTTAAATAGGTCACCTTCATTACTGCAGAAGTGCGAGCTATTTAAGTAAAACTAACCGGTGGTAGTATTCATATTTGCTTGGTTTTTCTTTCAGATTTTCTCTTTCTTTATCAATGAGTGTCACCCGCATCACTTCAGATACATTGCTTATTTCTGTCCGGTCTGATTAGTTCACTCATCTGAGAATAAGTTTTCCGCATCATAAGGACCTGGATAAGCCGAAATAGACCTTGTTTCATGCTGTATTTGCTTTGATGCTATATGGGTCTGCTCTGATGAACCTATATGTTGCGTTTATTAGAAACTTTTTCTGCAAAAATACATCCTCGGTTATTCCTACTCATCGCATGCCGCTTTTGATTCCACCAGACTGTTACTGTCATTTTGGAATCCGTGCACTTGGTCTGTTTTGAAACTGTACAGTAAGACTGTTTCCGTGATAGGGATATAAGATTATCGATCAGCAAATTCGAACCATTGTTTTTATCCTCAAGAGCAGCTTAATATCTTATAACACTGCAGCCTCTCATGGGGTCGAAGAGAGCTAATTGCTCCCCTCACATCCTCGGTTTTCTCAACAATGTTTAACATGGAATGAGTGCCGCCTTAATGCTTGCATTTGACTGACTCGGGAAAGTAGGCAGCATGGGCGGTGGAAGCGAGAGTGAGCTTGATACCAACGTATTCTGGCACTAATTTTGATTGGGTTTCGCCAGCAAAGGTAAACTTAAAGCTTTTATCCTCACCATCAATCCTTTAAGTTTATGCAATGTAAGCTAATAGGTTCTTGTATCGCTAAACTATGGTACACAATTCAACAGCTTCTTCTTACATTCTACGTAGATCCCGGTGGACGCAGACAGAAGTACTCCAGTAGCGATATATTGTAATTGGAAACTGATCATAAGCTTTGGATACGGTGGAGGCTTTGGTGCACGCAATCTAGAGCAAAAGACTTAACCATTAAACTTTTATAAAACTAAAAAGCTCATACCATGGCCTCGTGAAGATGGCATCAGTAACAATAAAAATCGTACATTAATCACAGGATATCACTGACATATATCACATCTGCACAGTAATCATTGTGTGTCAAGAGCTTTTAAATATAAGCTGCTTGTTTCGAGCATCAACTGTTTTAACTGCAATGCTGGAATTGAGGACAAGTGATGAATTGTGTTTGTCGGACCATTCTGGCAAAAATCCTTCCACCTGCTTTGGTCGTTTGTCGGGAAGTCTTTTCTGATCTTCAGCCTATTCCTTATTGCACGGCTCTCCCATGTTTGGTCTAAACCAGCTTCACTCGAACCTGTTCCTAATACCCTTCGTAGTTTAATGTGCTTTACGCTTTCAACAATTAAAAGGCCTCTCGCTCGAATACCTATCCTCTAAAAGAAAGCACCTATGGAAGCTGAGACTGAGAAGCCCAAAACTCTTTAAAACAGCTCAGGGCTACCACTTTGTTAAAAACAGAGTTAAGGCGGATGTTCAATGCGAAGGAAGGTACATTGTTGTGGGAATATATAATTGATTTGAACTGATTTTGTTAGTCTAAATCAGAAGAGAATGCAGTTTTGTACGTCATTTTACCTCATAGGTTATCTGGCAGGTACTGTTTAGCATGCTAGCTATGATAAATGGAACGTGAAAATTAGATCCCCAAAGCACAATACCACTTATAGAATTACATGCGTACTGCTTATGGGGAACCGCAATCTTTCCTGGTTACCAAAATTAAGTAATTTGTTATAAGTTTACTTCTTGAGCCGCTTTGAATCCAAATTTTCTCCCAATCTTTCGAAAATATGAAAAATCATAAAGTTTATATTTCCTTTCCCGCTTCGGCTACAAAAAACGATTACTTTGTGGGAAGTTCGAGCACATTTTTAAATAGGGTAGTAGTAGAGTAGCAGTCATTTAACTGCCATTAAGAGCTAGCATATATCTTCTAATTAGTCAAAGCAAATTCAGTTAGACAGCACTGCATTTTTATGTTACTCTCCTTCAGTTGCACTCCACTTATTTACCAATTCAGTGACCCCACGGGGGAACTCGCGCGTCCTCAAGTGTACCAAAGTTAGTAATGCTAGGTTCTTTGATTTTTGCAAAATACAACACTTTTGCCCAAAAAACTGCGGTTTACTATTAGTTTGCAACCTTGAAACACTACTTTAGCTCGAAGCGAACCAACTTACTTAGCATTAAAAAATGAAATAAGAATTTTAAATTTGGCTTAATATTCCTAATTCCAACATCTAAGCCAAATCGCATCACAGTACTTCGCAAAAAACCTCCGCTACTTTAGCTTTAAAAGGAAAGCGAGATTCCGTGTAACTGCGCAGAAAGCATAGCACGAGGCCTTGAATTAGGATTTTACAGTCAAATAAGTGAAATCTTAGGCATTTTTATTTAAGAGACCTTTAAGTGAAAAGCACCTTGGCAAGGATCAGAGGTTAATGCCGTTCCTTTGGAAGAATTTAGTTTAGGGCTCCTTTTATTCCAAGTCGTAAAGAAGCTATTCGAAGGCTAAATATGTTGTAATACAAAGGAAAAAGGCATTGACGTAGCATGGAATGAACCGATGGTCACTGGCATGACCTGGATACCACGCCACTTAGCTAAAGCGAGGAGTTCGAAACAGCCATGGCCTCTCCTTTTAAGCAGCATCCAAAACAATTTGCTCTATCAGCCTCTCGTTTCGGCTATTGCAACGTAGATGGCGCGGTAATGGAAGGGCTCGCGTACAATCGAAAATTGAGGGATACAAAGAAGTTGCTTGATTGTACGGTGTTGATATTGTCAATACTCCTACCAGATCAAAAATATCCCATGTGTTGCTATTGTTTTGCTATTACGAGTGCTTGTCGCTGGTCGTAATGGCACTAGTTCAATTTTGATCTTTTATTAAAAATAGGACTTGAAGTGAATTTGTGAGGCTAGGTTACAGTGCTTACTTCCACCTGCCATTATATTTTTATTTCATTGTCATTTATCTATAAAGCTGTCCGGTTCGTTCCAACTAGTAGAGGTTGATAAAACGCAGACAGCTTTCCAAAGAAAGTTCTAGGCGGTCGTCCCCTTTAACTATTGCTAGCAATCTCACAGAATATGAAGGGTAAAGCGGATGAGAAGCCTAAAGTCATTTCTAACCCTTCAATTGCTGATCTTCTCAGAGTGTCCCATCTGCAGCGAGTACCATTCTTCCATCAAGCCAATGTTTAGGGATTGAGAATGGAATTTAAGGTGGCTGACCCTGCGAGTTGATGGTGCTTTGTGCTTCCGATGACACTAGGGTTCAGTAATAGAACAGGAAATGCATTGCTGACTTGCGGAAGGGTTTTAAGCAGGAGTACAGTGGCGAGGCCTGCTAAATCAATATGAAGGGTATGGCTTACTTTCCAAGCATTTCAACATCTTCTTAGCATTGCTCCCCTTCCAGAAAATGAACCAGTTACTTACATTTGATGCTTAAACTATACACTAAATAGGTTTGAAAGGCTAGTTTTTTACTTACTCGGATTTAGTGTTCATGTCCATTGTGACATAACTTTTACTGAAAATAGCAAATCTACCTCCTTTACTTTAGACGGTGATCTGGGATCACAACATGTCAACAATTGCTGTAATGGGTACTCTCTTCACCATGGACTCTCGACTAGACGTCGCCACCACTCCAGGCAATAGGTTTCATAAATGTTCTTATGCTCGACCCCTCTCCTCTTCCGCTCCTGCTCATACCAGAGACTACTTTAGCTACCTACCCGCTGACAAGAATGAAATTTTTGAGGCTTGGGAACTTGTTATTGAGGGTCTTCAAATGAGTGATAGTGGTGCTTACCACTGTCGGCTTACAGGGGAGCAACCTCAGAGTCTTCTCTACCAACTCTCTGTAAAACGTAGGTCTTTGACAAGGCCTCTGAAGACTAGTCACTGTTTTGGACACGGAATTCAAGAACATAGATTATTAGCTCATTAATACCAGCAATGAAAAGTGATGACAATCAGTCATTGCAATCTATGATCAAACTTGTTTAAGTTTAAAGTTGTTTTCCTCTCGCCTAGATTGCCGTAAAATCTATAACGCTACCATCGTACAACTTCCATGACACGAATTCTCCATCAACTAGAAGCCGAAAAAAACTTGACTTTGCTCTGTCCATTTTCGCCTTTTCAGAATCTGTATCTCAATCCCGCGTATCTCCAAAGCAAATAGGTGAGCTTGTCAGTAGAATAAGTGAACCATTTCGACTTTCATTTTTCCTGCAATGTAAAACTAAAATGTCGTCAGAGATATCACTTCTGTATTGTGGCAAATTTTCTTTAGGCCCTGGAAATTGAAGCATTTTAAAAAGTTTTTGGAAAGTAGAACTTCTGAGTCAAACCCTTTCACTGTCAGTCAGGATAGACGCCCCGCGCTACGCTCGCAGGCAGAGTCCAGCCAACTTCACCTGCTCAATGCAAGCAACCCATGACGAGTCGTCTCAAGTCATTATTGACTGGTACCGAACTCCTTCGGGTCATCGCAGTGCAGGAGCACTACGTGTGATGGAAAGTCAGGCGTGGAATAATGTAAGCGTTTACAAGGAGATTCTTGGCTACTCAAGGGAAGGGCTGCAACTGGATGCAGTAATGCAGATCCATTCATGTGATTACCAACACGCTGGAGTATACGAGTGTCAGGCGCACCGAATTGGACAGAACGAAAGATCAACAATTTATGATTCGCTTACGGTTGAGTTCACGGGTAAGTCACTCCTTCATGACAAACATTGGATATTAGTTGTCATTATGACCAATGTACAGATATCACTTGTAATGACATGGCAGTCATCTCTGCAAACCTAATCAAACGGTGAGTGATTAAGTCAATTAGAGGCATCAAATTCAACTGGTATTAAAAAGGCGCTTAAAGTGAATTTTACTATTAATATTCAATACAAGTGTGTGCGCACATATACTATGGAGTATTGGATCAAGAGTGCAGAATTTCACGAAAATCAGCACAGTAATGAGAGGCTGCACTCCTAGACAATGCGGTGATTTGTTGGTGCAACCACACTAAAGCCAGTTGCTCCTAGCTTGTGGCTCTTAAGAAAAGCCTCGTCTCGGCACACACACCTGCGGCGGAGTTAACAAAAGAGTTGTGGAAGCGTATTTTGTCAGATCATGCTGGTCACCGCAATCGGTCTTTGCCAATTTTAAGAGTCTTTGGGTCTCATTTATGTACTAGGATTGTACGCTCAACCAAAGGCCGTATCATTTTATTTGCGGACACAAAAAGCCCACTTAGATTTGGGTGCAGAGCGTAGTTTTTCATCATAGAGGCCTTAAAGGGTTGGGGACTCATCTATGCACCATTCTGCATCGACGTATTTTGTTTTTGCGACCTGAAAGTGATTCCCTAGTGACACTCTCTTCTATGTAGATTTATTATGGATGAAATTTCCATTGCATAATTTTTATGTTCTTCATTTATAGTTTTGCAAGTTTCCCTTTGAAATACGCTTTACTATGCATATTTTCAACTCGGAACTCAATCCGAATAGTCCACAAAGCACCTTATTTCCACTTCAAATCTGTGCTCCTAGAGCTTGTTTAAATCCGAGGTAACATTAATAGAAAACAACGTTTTATGCCACAACATGACTCCTGAAATTCCTCCTCTGTTTTACCCATTTAATAGGTTTGCAAATTTTATCAATTCTATCTTTTGCACCATTCTTAAGATAATTTGTTTCACCGCTCCCTGTTCTAAGGTTATTGTAGATAGGGGTTAATGCGGACGCATAGAAATGATGAATAGCATATGTCAAAAAATGGCCTTGATTTAGGGACGTGTAGTTCTGCTTAAAAGGCATTTAGGTAAACTCAAATCAGCCATTTCGTACCATGCTTCTCACACGCCATCGCTCGGAAATGTGGCAGCAGACGGTTATTTTGTAGTCAATGATTTGTGTAAATATGGAAAGGACAAATTTGTTCAGCTCCCTTTAGGTGGATTTCCCTTTTTACTATCGTGCATTCCAGCCAAGAGTAACTGCCTTCTTAATGAGTTCCTCAACAACCTGAACAAGCAAGCTGTAACCGATTAGTTGGAAGCGCAAAGTCTCCAGCTAATTCAACATCAAGGAAACTTGTAGAAATGGTCTTGCATTTTTGCAGGACATAAAACGGAAATATATATGGGCCACCTACATTCTACTAATTAAGTTATTTGTCTATTATTACATCAAAAATTTACAAGGAAACCAAAACATATTTCTTTTTTGGGGTGCTTTGTACTGCTTTGCTGCGTGAAGATGCGGTTTCTAAGAGGCACGCAGCCTCCCTCGTTTGGGGTGATGAAGATTCCTTTTCGGATGAAAGACTAAAGTTACTGCGATGGAACGAAAAACGCAGAAAGAAAACATGACAATATCTGGTCACTGCGATCTCCTGGTGGAGGATAAGAATCCGGATTACAGGGAGCCCTACTTTTGTCAGACCTAAATATTATATTTTTTAAATGTCATGATTACAGAGTAGGTTTGGAGTCTATTAAACTTCACATCTGATTTGGGGTGAAAAAATTCTATCTTTAACCAACCGTAATCGAACAGAAAGGACTTCAAAAGACATTCATTTAACGATTCCATGAGGGTAAGTAATGTTGAATTGGTTAACACGCTGTTAGACCATCTTCGCCATTCGCCACTTTGCAGTTAGTGCTTCGAATTTATGAGACGCTTCCAAAGCAATTGTCCCATTCTTCAAGTTCGCGTGTCTGAGAAGATATCTAACCGTACCATTAATGACTTCGATTGATATGTCCCACTGTTCCCTTGTAAAACTTCATTAGGGAAGGTAGCATATGCTAACCACCAAGCTTGTATATGGAGAGTAGTAAGAGCACCTGCCTAGGGGTACAGTCACTCAGTAAGAGACGATTTTTTCCACCATATCTTTCAGCATCGCCAAATAAGTCACGTAGAAAGCCTTCAAACTTTTCATTAAGGCTTGACAACCCACTGAGCTTTCTTGTACCAAAATTTAAAGATGCCTCTGAACTTGTAGATTATATCATGAAGTTGGAGTTTAAAGCATTACTTGCGAGAATTTTTCTCCGTTTTAGTGCTGCCACGTTGGCAATATCAAACTTGCGTTAGGATTTTGGGACTGTGTCGAGAAAGAATAACTACGTTTCCTTCCTCTCATAGAAGTTTCCAACAAGGTATGGATCCAATATAGCCCTTTGTTTACTCGAGCGAAGAAATCAAAAGCTATTCTTTAATAATCATAACGCCTTTCCGCTTGATACTACTGAGCATAACTAAATTCGATTCAAGTGGTGAACCACAAACGCGTATTGTGGCCTTAAAAGGAATGAAGAGAAATAACTTCTTTGGAATGCTCTTTTGTAGGTAAACAGGTGTATTTTATTTTCTGCATTGGGTTTTCGATAATCAATTGTAATGCGGTTAAAGTGATCAGTCTGAACAATTAAACCCTGCTGGTTTGTGCCAAGAGACTGAAATTTACCTTAATTAACGCATTGCTTTGAACAAATTCGGTGATATTAGAGGTATCTGTTTTACTCCTTCCCACAGCTTTTTCTAGAGTTGCGCTGTCAGACTCACCGACGGTGAAACAGCAGGGACAGAAACGAATTGAGCAGCAGTGGACTCGAACTCCCCACGCCAAAAATTGGACCCTCTTTGTGGTGACGTCTCGTAGAACCTCGACGGTCTCTTCTTCGCCCCGTGTCAATGTTGTTTACGCAGTTCTTTTATCCTGCCTCCTGTTTCCTATGCTTAAACACTTGAGGTGATCAATTTGCATCCCTCTGTACAAATTTCTTCCCTCTTTTACTCGATTGCTCCTTCACACTACCTTGTTATTCAAGATCCTTCTGTGATGTGATTCAACTTTCCGTGCCAAGAGGTCTCAGCTTTCTAAATTTCAATCAAGATGTATCTGTAAATAGATTACATTTTGTCAACCCCATAAAACTCACTGATTTGGATACATTGGTTCACTGCGTTATATCCACCGACAACTAGCCAAAGATGCGTAGAAACTTTGCAATTTTCTTCACTACCAAAATGTTCCTGTCAATTTTTGCATTCTGATTAGCATTGCGCCTCCTTATTCTCATTCTGAAGTGAGGATTGGGCTACTACCGTGGTTGGATGTTTTAAGTTTAAATTTTGAATATTTTTGGCGTCTACCATCTCTCTCTTGCAATGATCCTCTCAGTCCTCATAAGTACCTCATAATCTGCCCTTTTCCTTCTTGATTAGGGCAAAGGTTAATTTTCTACTGCACTTTATCTCATCTCATCGGAGAAAACTTATTTATTTCCCAATATTTTAACTAAACTTGAGCATGAGCATGTGTCACTGATATTCGCGATAGCAAAATTCATTCGCTGGTCTCCTCTTTCGATGTTTTAAGTACTTCCATGGCTTAATGCTGACACCGCTGTTGCGATGGCCTCAGAGAGGACGTGAACGTGGCAGGCCGATTCACAAAGGGCTAGGAGAGGGAAGGTCACTGATACAGTCTAAAGGCCATGCTATCCAGAGGAAGTACAATGACAGAGACGTATATGCTTGCTAAATTGCGATAAAAGTTTTAAAATTTAAATTTCAAAAAGTTGCTTAAAGGTGTCTTATAATTAGTTTATTCTTAGTACACAAGTACAAACCTCTTTCTAGGGCTCAAAACAGTATATACTGGGTCGTAAAATCACCACAGCCAGCATAACTAGCTGCTAATGAGCCTGCCTACTATATTAAACCACCGTCAAAAGTAATCTTCTGCAACAATTTTTAATGCATAAGAAGCTACAATTTAGGCATTATCGGCGCCCATCATTCCTGTCCAGTCATAAACATCTAATCGTAGTTTCACAAAAGCGACGAGGTTTAAGCGAAAGCGATGTAGTACCTTTGAGGTGCAAAGCTTGTGGTTAAACCGATGGAGCTGACTTCAAAATGGATGTCAATAACACCCTTCCTCCGCAAAGTCTTCACTTTGCGAAGACCATATGCAACGCAGAGTAAACTTCCTCTTCCAGCCAACCTCAACATTACTATGGTCGAATGTAAAAGGTGAAAGAGAGCGATGGTGCAAACATTTTACCAGCGGTAGTGATGACATTCTAAAGTTAAATTGCTTCACTTATGCTACCATAAAGAAGTACCAAAAGGCTTATCTCCGTACTAGTATGGATTTAACGCCTTGTTTCAGTTACTAAGATCTAAGTATCAGACCAGGTATAAGTAATTTGAAACGCAAAATAAAGTCCTATTCTCATTTGATATGTCATTTTCAGATCTATAGAACCCGAAGTGCACAGCTCACCTATACACAGCAATTATGTAAGTTTCGCAAAACGTAAATCCGTTGCCTTGCTAATGAACCGATGCTAATCCAAAGCACTGAATCATGCAACGTTATAGTTTATGAAATGGTGACATCACTGCTAACATAAACGTTCGGTACTTATACCTTTGGCTTGTGTTTTCGTTTGGGAGAAAGTTTAGGCTAAACTTCACGTAAAGCAGAGCTGATAAATGGCTACAAGATTTAACAAGCACATCACATTTCTTATTTGGCTTTTTAACATATTATTGTAAACAGGGTTTGACATTTTAGTCGTTCACAATGGCTCTATCGGACAAACTTAATTGCACTTATTCCATTGTGGTTGTGGTGACAATGAAGGATATGACCACTGCAATTTTATTTTTCACCGTGGGCTCCAAACCCAGCTAGCAGCGCTATAGCCCTCCTATAAGCACCCCAAATTAGTAGTGTGCTTTCATTAATCCTTTAGCTAAGTGAACTCGGCCTCTAGAGACAGTTCCCTTGGTCTCAATCGCCGAATGCCAAACCTTAAAGTGAAGGTTACTTACTGAAGGGTAATAAATGAACTCTGGCCTCACCAGCCACTGCAGTTAGTGTCCATTAAGCCCTGAACGTGAGTCACGTGGAAATTTTTGCTAGGTAAAGATAACAGTTGAGTAAATATGTTATGTTTTCCTCTGCGTCCTATATAACTAGACGGAATCGAACTGAATATGGTTGGACAGCACAAAAAGTGAGAGCAAGGTGACAAAGAGAAGTAGGCGCAAACGCAGAATTAATCAATACTATTTCAGGCTTCGTCTCTTAATAAATGGCCTGAGTTAGGTCAGTGGCTCCCAAGACTGGTAATGGCGCTCGCGGTGCTCCGTATGCTCCAACTTCTTCGAAAGGGTTTGTAGTAAGGACTGAAATTCCAGATTTGTTAAAATAAAAATGTAAGGTTTTAACGAAATTGTAGACACCGGAGTGTAGCTTTGCGTATGCTTTCCATACACTGCCATCTGTATCGTAATAGTTGGGCTGAGGAGTGACCAGGGGAAGCCTTTAACAATGATGGCACTTAAAATCGACGTGGTAATGAAATGCTTGCCATATTTTTAACGCATTGTTTCAGTTAAGCATTTTGGTCCCTATTCTGTTCACACTTGTGTAAATAATACATATTCTACTCCACGATTATGAAAGCTTTTATCTTTGGTAGATCTCAGCACACTACATAGAGCCAAGCTGATTCCATATTGTAAGTAACTGCGCGATGTAGTGTGTCGCTTTGACGTTAAAGGGCGCTTTTCTTAAGAAAAAGACGACTAAACTACATGATCTACTTTAATTTTCCTCACTAAATTGAGAAGGCAAACTTGTCTTATTCCCCGTTGGATCCTTTCTGTTGATTAAAAGCCAACAATTTCACTGCGTTCATTGAGTTCCAAGTGTATCACTTTCAAGATCTTCGCATCGATGGTTTTGTTTCCAAAACAGGGAATATTTTCGCTTCTACAAAAACTATTAATCGAAACGCATCATTCTGCCACCAAAGGGGGTGGAAGATGATAGAGAAGGAGTTGAAGCAGCAATTGAAACCCTCTAAGACGCCTATTGTGCAATAACACATTAATTGTTAGCAACTTTCGATGTTTTAAAGTGAAGGAATTAGTAAAGACTGAGGGTCTTGGAGTCTCGTTTGCATCCCTTAATGCATGTGGGTGGGACCCATTTGCATTATTAGCTTTCACGACTTCCCAATCCCAGTTGGTCTAGTTGTAGACGATTTGGTTCTATAACCCAACGTCACGGTAAGCTAATTATATGGCGAACTAAGCTCCAGTCAGGTTAGTAGCTAGCGGCAGAAGTGGAATTCCCAAGAGGTGATTTTATGGCATGCTTTATTGTGAGAAGAAAAGAAGTGAAGGTAGTTGATTGTATGACACCCGTTTCCCTGTCGCTTCGCCTCCTGTCACAAGTTGAAAACCAAGTTGAAATCTGTTCGCAAAACAGTTGGTCTCATGTTCATTAAAAGCTCATAAACAAGGAACTTCCAGAGGCTTCAGTGTAAAGGCACCGCAGTGGTAGGCCCACAAATTGACTACGGTACCTATAAGCAATCGCATGCAACAATCAAATGATCAAGCAAATATAATCAGTCCATCTTAAACCGTTTGATAGTGGTGAGATGTCCGCCGAACCGGTATTGCAGACTTTGTGGTCTTAAAAATGCCACTAGACTCCGCACCGCAACGCCGATTTCCTTGTAACTACCTTACAGTTGCAGCTTAAATAATAATAATAATAATGAGAAGGAATTTGATCAAACTAAGCAGCCTTAAAGATCAAATGCAGCGCCAAGAGTAAGAAGGCTCATCGATATCCCAAAAAGAAATTGATTAAGACTTATCACGATGCGCAGGAGGCCATTGTACATCGAATTTAGCTTATCTCTACATGCAAGATTAGGACGTTGGACTTTAGAATGGAAAATTAATGGCATACTCATTAATATATTAGATTTTGCATCTCAGTGAAAACGTTGACATTAAGATATTTGCTCCTCTCGGGGTGTGGAGTCAAATGCTATTGCGTGCATAATACTCCGACCATATAGTTCTACCTAGTGGTGCAGTTTTGTAAGTCCAATTCTGTAGTCTTTAAGCATTTCTACACATTTAGAATGCACAATGCTCCAATAATGTGTCCTCTACCTTTAAGAGAGATATTATAGTTGTAGAAATCATGCAACTTCTTGAAGGACGACTACTTCAAACCTTTGCTGAGCATTTAATCCTATTTTCTTGTTCCTCAGGCATGCTGTCAACAATTGAAGGCTCATAAGCCATGGGCGTATACCACAAAGCCACCCATGGTTTTCGTGCGACAGTGTCAGTTTGGATAGAAAACAGAGGTTGATATGCCCGGGCTATACTGCACTGAGATCAGTGTACCAAAACGAAACAAACATAGAACTTTACCTCCAAGGCCCTTTTCAAACAGATGAAGACATTAGCAGAAATTTCTATCATTTTGGAGAAAAAGCGCACTCTTGTGATGATAGTATTAGTTGCTGAGAGAAGCTAATCGGAAGTTTCCATTGATTCCATATGACAAGGAAGCTACCAATAGTATCTAATTAAACATTCAAAAACCCTCAAACAATCATAGGTGTACCTCTTTTATGGTTCGGCTAACTCTTTGTGCTAACTTTTAAACTCGCTCAAAACTACACCTCTGCACTTCCGCTTGACGGTGCCATCCTTAGGGCAAGCCAGTGCCCCATGCACATGCATTGTGTCCTCTTTTCTCGGTGAAACGAACCACTCCCCTTTACAATTTTGCACTAACTTATGCTTTACAACCATTTGCAATTTATTAAAATGCATTATTCACACTAAAATTCCGTTAAGTACCCTCAAAACAGAAACATGCCTGCTGCAACACGTGTGACAGCATTTGTTGGGAAACATG